CAGCACACAGCAACTTGTCTTATAGTATTGGGTTTATTAATCCACCGGTTTCAACTTCATCAGGATAAAATACATAGGAACTTACTTTATACTACACCTTATCAGAATATGTCACGTTCCAAGTTTGGGTGTGAACAACAAAACACCCACAAGAATAACCACAGGATATGATTAAAATCCTGTGCTAGAAGGTGCTTTTGGGGCTTCACGGTTTTAACGTTAAAAACAAAAAGGTAAATGGTAAACAAAAGAATCAAACGAGTGAAACGTTACTCTCAGTATGTTGTAGCTGAAGCATAGCATTTTTTCACTTTTTTCGAGTGTGAAAAACGCGGAGTGTAGAGTGTATATAAAATAAAAGGACATAAAAATATATACATGCATAAAAAATTATCTTACCAGGGTAATACTGTTATTGTCTGCAAGCAAAATATCAACCTCGCGCTGATGTTGTTTTCTTTGCCTAGTTAGCCGTGAATATTATAAATTGACAGAAAGCGTCTGGAAAATATCTTTGGTCACGTTCGAAAAGGTGATACCGTTAACACCTAAATGGTGCAAATCTTGCGAAATACGTTACTTGTAAGCCATGGGTAGATTCAATTTAATTTGCATATTCACAGGTGATTACAAGTTCGCATTGATCTCCACGTGGTCAGACTCAGAGAGTGCTATAATGGCCTTTAAAATCCCTCTTATTCAGCCTGTAAAATCCCTCTTATTCACTGTAGGATTGTATGATTTAACAATGAAATTTCAATAATGCATGGCTAGGACAGATAATTAAAATCGTAAATTTACAGTGATTTTCTGATTACCTATTTGTTACTGTTCTTTTTATAAAGCTACAAAATATGTATGTAACAGTTCTTTATAGCTATATAAAACACTGTAGGATTGTATTTACCAATGAAAATGCAATGATGCTTGCCTTAAAAAGATTATTACTATCGTTAATACACAATTATGTTTCACGCGTTGATTTTTTTTATTACCCATTTTATACGGTGCTTTTTACATAGCTACAATATAAATTGCAATGATCCATCGCTTTTTTAAAGAGCGTGGACTGCTTGTTGTTATTGACAGTAATGTTTCACTCGTTTGATTGTTTGATTCTTTTGTTTACCTTTTTGCGTTCTTTTAAGCTTGAAAAAGTAATGTACGGTTTAGTAGTGAAAACACAATGATGCATCGCCTTACAGGAAATGGAGCGCTTGTTATTGCTGTTCATATCGTTAAA